GCCAGAACCAGCTCCAGCTCCAGGTCCAAAGCCAGAACCAGCTCCACCTCCGACCATAGGCCCAACACCAAGACCTGCACCCCCTGGCCCAGAACCAGCTCCACCACCAGCTCCACCACCAGCACCACCAACCCCTGGTCTAAACCCAGCCCCTCCAGCTCCACCAGCAGCAGCTCCAGGTGTACCAAACCCTGCCCCTCCAGCACCCGGTGCACCTCCAGCCCCTTCCCCAGCTCCACCCTGCCTTCCGGCCTGAACCAGAGCCATCTCTTCGGGCAGCATGACATCTCCAACCCCCAAGGCCTCGTCCTTGTACTTGCGGACGTACTGCTGCATTTGCTTGACCTCTGCCGGGGTCAGCTCGTGGCACATGGACGGGTCCTGGTCATGCTCGGGCAGCTGGCGGGCCATCTGCTGCCGACGGTAAGCAGCTCCCTCTGTACCGGCCACCGGACGTTTCTCTGGCGGGAGCAGCTCAATGTAACGCACCGCCTGGAAGTCAGAGAACAATTTTGAAGAAGCCATTGAGATGGGATAAAGAAAGATAGTGTGAAGGACAGAGATGTGAAGAGTGCATAAAGAGAAGTTAAGGACCAATCAGAAATAGAGTAAGGGGAAATTCTTGGAGAAAACTTTAGAAACAGAGGTGTGTGGTGAGAAAGACACGCAAAACAAGGGTCCTAGAGATACAGTAGTAGTCTAAACAAACAGATACATGACTTACTACCAGAGTTTTAAAGTTCTGTAGTAAGTCCAAGCAGGAAATGATTGAAATGGTGAGAGCTCTTGACATAAATATTTTTTTATTATTACAAATTATAAGGACTAAATTGTCTGTTATTGGGGCCTCTTGTGGACAAAGACCTTTATGGGAAGCCCCAAAGTTCCTTAAAAGTGTTGCAAAACGTTATCATTGTGCCATGCACACGAAACATACCCTGTACACTTCACATAAGAAAAAGCAGAAAGCAGATTCATAGATAGCAGTTAAATGTATCCTTGCAATTCATTTCCTGCACTAAATGATTATGCACATGGTCGATCTCAGTCTTTACTTATGAACAGCTGAGTCAAGTTTAAAGCCAGGGTAACACACCGGCTGAATCCAGATTTGTGAATAGCAAGTCATTGTAAGGTTAAGAATTTGAGGATCAATATAATGTGGTCCACCTTTTAAACAAGTGAGCAGGTAAGAGTTAATATTTGCTGTCATTATTGTAAACAGTTTATCAACGTGATAAGACAACAGGCTATGTTTCAGAATGAATAAAAGGCATTGACAGTCTGGTTTTCATTAGGGCTAGGCAAAATGCCAAAGTGTTCCTGTGACCACAGTGTACTAAACACTACCACACTAAACCAATGGCAATCAATAATGGATTACAAAGCCTTTAAATGGAACACAGACCCACATGATGTCACTTCAATAGTCACAGCAGAGAGCCGTCTTTGGCTGATTGGGACAAACTGAAGGCACAGGCTACCAGTGAATAAAGGCAAAAGTTATGTTTTGGGTGATTAAAACGGCATCCCCCCAAAAACATCTTGGCTGTAGATTCAAGCGATAGCTGATGTATTTGTCCTATCATCAAATCTTAATTGCCACTTAACATACAATAAATAATATAATCCCTACAAACTCGAACTAACTTGAACTAGGCAGCTAATAATGATTTTTGTTTGTTTTGTCCATTAATAGTTTATCCTATCACAAGTTCCCACAGCCTTGTTTTCACATTTCTGTCAAACCAACAGTCAACAACCTGAATATATTCAATTTACAATGATATAAAACCTCAGCAAATAATCACATTTGAGAAACTTGAAAAAGAAAATCGTTGGTATTTCTGATTGATTAAATAGTTAAACAATTATCTTCTTCTATCTCTATATATTGTCATATATTTTAGACTTTTATTATTTGACTATTTTCCATTTTATATGTATATACCGATATGTACATTTCTATTTTTAATTCTATATATTGTTAGATATTGTGATATAATGATATAATAATTATTTCTATTCTTTAATGTTATTAGTGTGAGCATCAATAAAGTCAGTCATTTTAGCACTAGTTTGAACACTTACCAGATACTTATTGGCTACTGGCGGTGCCCACTCATAGGTGACAGACTTCATTGGCACATCTTTGGGGACTGGTACCACATTGGCTGATGTGGCGCTGACAGCCACCGGCACTTTGTTCGCCTTGACGGGTGTGACGTTGGCTGGTACAGGCCGAGCCTGAGCCTGAGCCTGAGCCT